CCCCAAAACCCCAAAACCCCAAAACCCCACACCATCAATTCAACATTGAATGACAAACAAAATATGACCATTAATTTGTATCTTCCAAATAGTTCTTAGAAATTATTATCAGAGGAAGAAATATCCTCATTTATTGGAATACCATGCCTACTTGAACATAAGGAATACTGGAATCTCCCCTTCTCTGTCTTTGTTTAAGTGTGAGTCAGTGACTTTTCTGATTTCTTTAGGAGGTTGAGGTGAATCTGGGGTCTTTTCATCTAGCAAAGCGCCATTCTCTATTTCTGACATAGATATTTCATTGGACTGTAACTGAAATAATCGTTGGGTTTTCTTCCATTCTCGGAAAACTAGTTTGAAAAAGAGATAATTCAAGACAGTAAGAGCCAGAGTAATGGTGAGTTTAATGCATAGAGATGTCCAATCGATGCCTGGATCGACTGGCTGCTCAGAAAAACTTTTAATGATCTCATCATATTCTGAGCAATTTGAGGTGTCATTACCTACGAAAGTGGGCATGAAATATTGTCCAATTCTCATGCGGATGCAATCAGATTTCTCTTCAAAACAAGCCATCCCATCAGTAGCAATGATTTTCTTAATAACTCCAAATGATTTCTTTCCATATCTCCATGCCAGCTCTTTGTACCAATAGGCAAGCTCAGACATTAAGCTTCTAGAAATAAGTCTGAATTCTCTCATGAGCTTCGTCAAGATATGTGCAGGAGTTAATCAGCTCAGACTGTCGCAATGAAAGATGCTGAGGATTACTGTAAACAGGTCATTGGAAAACACAAATATTTCTTTGAGCGAAATGTTTGACCCTTGAAAGCTGTAAGCCAAAAAACCAGTTGATCTGATCAAGGGCACGATATATTTAAAATGCTTATCTATCATCATCAGGTTATGATTGATATTTAAATCAGGGGATGATCTAAAATTGTCTAAAAGGGGTTCTTTTCAATTTGACTGAGAAATCATAAGTGCTAGAATTGCAATGACCCAGAGCAAATTCTTCATATTTATAATAATTAATTTAAAATACAATCTTTTGAACCCAAATTGGGGTTTTGGGGTTTTGGGGTTTTGGGGTTTTGGGG